AACTGCAAGCCGGGATGTCATCCCACTGCATTGAAAAGAAGATTAATATGCTTAAAGTTGCACATGAACATAAGGAATACAATAACTGGCTCCCAGACAGAGCTGGGCAGCCCAGCGGCCAGTTTTCAAGTGACCCTGTCTGAAAAGGCAACCTTCCTCAGCCAAACAGAATCCCAGTGTATGGCAGCAAGTTTCCATCATGGGTGAATTTCCTTTTAAGCACCCATGGGATAGCCTGGATACATTTATTTGGGTAACTTCTGCTCTCTGAAGTATTCTGAAATGATTAACTTGCATTACTGAGAAATGCTATGGAAACTGTACAGTATCCATTCACTTAATAGCCATCAGCTGCAATTTAACTAAAAGCCTCAGAAGCTCCTCTGCCTTCAGCCAACCCCCAGATGCTGTGCCAGGCAGTGTTGTGAGCACCCAGCACAAGCTGTGTTCGTGCTGCTTGTTTCTGAGGTAGCTGTTGGACTAACTATTCAAAGAAAACAGCTTTTTTTTTTTTCAATTCCAGGTGCTTGGTGGCCTGCTGTTGCAGTATGGCAGGGATGTAACAAGTGCTGTGTACAGAGGAGCTACAGAATAGGGCTTCCTCAGCAGTCTGTTGTGGTAGAAAAAGTGCATGTGCCAGGCCTGAATTTCATGTCTCCTTTTCTTAAAGTACAGGAGACTGACTACCTTGAAGAACAGAGCTCTTCTGCCTTTGCTTTTTGCAGCAGCCCCACATGCTTCCCAATGAGCCTGAAAATGGCAAGCCCAGAGCTGTGCATGTGATGGAACCCTCTCCACTGTGATTAGCCTTGATGTGTTCCAGGTGTAAGCAGTTCCACAGAGCACAGTTCTGGCTCAGACCTGAAGGAACCACTCCTTAGTTCCTCCACAGTTCTCCATTTCTGAAGCTATAAAACCACAGGATGCAGGCTAACAGGTCTTGATTCTCTTTTGCACTTTTTTTTGGAGGGTGAAATGTTTTATTCTGGACAGCTAGTGTTCAGGGAGGTGGCTAGAGGGAAAGCCTTTGCAAGGCTGGGAAAAGAGAGCCCTATATTTGGTGAGGATCTCTGGAAATGAAATGGATTACATCAACTTTCTGAATCTGTCCTTGCATGCTGTTAAACTGAGGCAATTTATAGTTTTATTTGAATTTATTTTCTGTCAGCAGTGTTTAACTACCCTATCCAAGGATGGCCTTATATAGTAATTATTTCTGCTTTTCTTGTGGGTGGTAGGTTTCTAAATAATTAATTTGCAATGGCAGTTGATCCTCTTTGATTATCCTGAACTGGTAAAAAGGGAGCATAGTGCAGAGTTGTGTTTTTTTTTAGTTCCTTTCCATCTCAATAACTTTGCAGCACAGGTTTCCAGAGCAAAAAAAGTTAATTTTAAATTGTTAGGGGTGTGGGGAGAAGAGGGGTGAAATTATATGCATGCTTTGGTTTAATGTGCTTCTGTAAGACACAGCTGAGCTCTGTTAAAAGCTGTTACTGTTGAGACTGGTCATATCCCTCCTGGTGGGCTGCAGAAGTGACAAGGATACTAGGCTGGAGCTATGGATGAAAGCTCCCAGGCACTGTGCCTGAGCCCAGTGCTCACCCCTTTAAGCCACACAGTACAGCCCCAACGCCTTGAAAAGGGGCACTTAGGCCATCAACATGCACTTCAGAAAATCCCTCATTAGCTGTTGCTGAAAGAACATTCCACAGGGCTACCATATATTCCAAAGAGTGAACCAGGAACAGCCCTGATCTGGAGATATTAAATGATGAACAGGGATCATAAGGGAAAATGGGTAAGATTTCTTCACATAATTTCTCCTCAAGAAGAAATGAGCTTTTTATTGGAGTGCCCTGTGCAAGCTTGGAAGAAAGAGTTTGCATGGAAAGAGGAAAAAATACTAGCTAGAAAAGAGTGTGAGCTAGAGCCAGGAAAGATTAAACAAAGGCCACAAGTTTCTATGTGTCCTTTTAAGATGTGAAAGTACTTTTCCCTTCCCCCACAAGTGAAAGAAGAGGCCACTGATGCCTTGACAAGATTTTCAGGTGTTCTGTTGATTGTTAACTGCATTGCCATAGCCTTGTGAGCCAGACTTTTCAAACTGGTTGTGCTTGGTACAGTTAAAGGGGTTTGACCCTTTGCAAGAACACTCAGATTTTTACTTAATTCATGGGAAATTTGGTTCTGCGTGTAGTTTCACTGTTGCTTAGAGGGAGTGATGAGAAGAACCCAGAAAGTAAATGACTGAGCAAGATATATGCTTTTAGGTTGATTCCACCTGATTCCAGCAGAGTCTTTACAAAGTTTTTTATTTCTGCTTCTTAAGGTTTCTTGATGATTGTTGTTGAAGGATTTTCAGGGACAAGGCATTTTTTAAAGCATGGACTATTGAGCAGCTTTTTGAAGGATGGAAAAGAACTAGTTAAACTTGGAAAACATTATGTATGTAATGTATGTTTTATTGGGTGCAAGTTACAGTCTTAGGCTACCAGCCTTGCAAAGACACTGCAGATCTCTGAACAGTACAGCTTTCTCAAGCCAAATGAAGAACAGGAATAATTAAAAAATTAGTGTCAAAGCAATTGTTTATTTCTAAGAACAGTATTAAACCCCAATATTTTCCTGCTTTATGTATAAACATGAATTCCATGCTGCCATACAGGAAGTCAGTGTATCCTGAGCCTTATATTGAAATTCACTTTTGTTCATGAACTGGGATTATTGAATCTACATCACATTTTGTCTCAGTTGTGGTTGTCCCCCCACTAGTTTATTCTGAAATCCAAAGTCAGTTAAGCATGTCCAAATAGTTCTTCTCCTGTTTTATATTGCATTTGGAAAAAGTTAGAAAAATCACTATCAGATACAGTGCAATTACAGAAATACTACTTTCCAAGAAAAGACAGATTGTGTCTGTCAGTCTTTCCCTCTTCCCAGTTCATAATGTGGCCCTGCCTCATCAGACAGTGGGCATGTGGGGACAAGAGTTGGAAAGTTTCTCCCTGTGCTACTCAAAAAAAGTACTCAGTGGGCTTTGATACTGCTGACTGCTAGATCTGTACTTTGCATTAAAGCAAGTCTAGTCTCTGACTTAAATATGACTATACATCTTCAGAGGAAATACTCCACAGGTTTTTACAGTGAAGGAATAAAATGCTGCATTCTTTCTGTATTTTATTTTGCACAAAATATTCCCTCCCCCCTCCTTCTGCAAATAAACTAAGTAACACTTCCTTTCTCTACACTGAAGCAGAAATCAAAAAGCTAAGTCCTTTTTTGGAAGTGAGATGAGATCTGCAGCTAATATAAACTAGTCAACTTGCACCAAACTCCAGGCTACATTTTTTCCAAAGATCTCTATTGCTGTGTTGCATCCAAATGTATGTGCCTGCTAGGTCTCTTTTTTAAATGCTACTTAATGTTTATAAACATGAGTTTGAAGCACTAAAAAGATAATTTGAGCACAACAGTTTGCAGGGAGTCAGGTGATGCTGAAAATGTTAAATGCAACTGGTTATTCTTTTTCTTGGAGCTTGGCATCCTTTTTGATTATGTACAGTGACAAATATTGTTTCTGCTGGGTCTGGATAAGTAACAACAAAACTCACCACCAAATAGAGTAAAAAAAAAAAAAGTATTTAAAGGAAGGAAAAAGGAGCTAAGAATAAGAGAGCATTACATTTACTGCTTAGGAGGAGGCACATTTTTGGTAAATAGGGGTAGAGAGGGGACAATCATCAAACTTTGTACTATGCAAGTGATTAAACAAGGACCTAAATTGATTCCACAGACGATTACATATGAATTCCTACTAGAAATGTATCACTTAGTACAGGGCAAGGCTTATAATGACATTGCAAAAACCTTCTGAGAGTAAAATTAAAAACCAATGGGGAAAATCACACATTATTGTATGAAGGTAGAAGGAAGTTAGGCTGTAGCTTGTGTTTAGTTCTACGTACAAGCATCAAGGGGCTCATTTCCCTGGAGTTAGCTGAAATCCTGCTTAGAGGAGGGGGATTAACACTTTGGTAATAGATATCACACCTCCTTCCTGGGCAACAGTAACCAGTAAGAGATGGGCCCTGCTGTGGGACTGAGATCCAGGCAGTGGGAGGAGAGCATGGTCTCACCACTAGATTCCAGCAACAGCTGTAGTCACACAAGCTTGACCTGTTTCTTCTGAGATGCACCATTTCCAAATGGAAAATAAAGTGGTCTGTAGTGATCAACACCTGGGTGCTATTTATGCCTCTGCTTTAGTGACTATGCATAACTTGATCACTCTATGTATTTGTAAATGGTAAAATGTAACTTGGCTGAAAATAAGGATAGTGCCTGAGACCTTTATAAGTACCAGTTGGTTAAAGGGGTCTAGTTCCTCCTTTCTCTTACATTCCATTACTTTTATTTCCAAGTCACCTGTAGGAGAATTGTTGTGTCCCAGCATTCTGGAACAGTATTCCCTGACTGGTTAGAGAATCAGAGCAGTACAGCAGTGAAAAAAAATCCATCTGACAGAAGGCAGCACAGTCAAAAACACCTTGCTGTGCTTTACTGAGGGCAGTATGCCAGCACTTGGAATAACGTGCAGTTGGCTTCATCCACAGATTGTTGGAAGACTGCTTTTGACTGGGTTAGATTTTTGGATCAGGCTTCTTGTCACTAATTTCTGGCTTAAACATTAGGATTTAGGTTCGTGGAAAATTACGTTAGGAATCTGGACCGAAATTTAAAGACCAAAATCAGACATTATTTTTTGAAGACTGTCCTGCATTTAACCAATCCAAGTCTCATGAACTTGCAGGCAACTTGACTGTGCAGGTGTGCAGAAGTTTTACATGCTCAAGGCAATGTCCTACTGAGCCAGACTTGTGCAAATCAAATCTGTAGCTGTGCATGTGTATCTTCTAGGCACAAGCGTTTGTTTAAAGAATGTTTCTCACTGAAATAGCACTCTGAAACCTACTTATGACCAGTTTCCTCTTTTGCAATAGGTTTTGAAGCAATCATGCACTGAGATTTTATATTTGGAGCCATCAAGTGTCTGTGTGGGAGGTAAGTTTTTATAATTTAAAAATAATATTCAATTATTGTAGAACTATGATTTTCTTATTTTACTCAGAGGAAAACCCCACAGATTTCTAGAATAAAACACCTCTATCTCAAAAAATCTCCAGAGAATTCAAGAAAGATCTGATCCTTCTCTGTTAAGTAAGTTTTTTTTCCCTCTGAGGAGCTCTTCTAGGGCCTACTTCAATAATTTAGGTAATGCATGTAGAAGTTTGAGATGCATTTAGCTGCCCCTCTCCCATTAGTCATACTCTGCACTTGCCCTGGTAGTCAAAGCAAAGATATTTAGTCTGTGACACTCACCTACTGTTTCACCTATGGTCACTCAGTTACCTGCTGGGAATGCTGATAGTGCATTTGGTCAGGAAAAACCACAAACTGGTCAGGACAGTTTAGTGGTCAGGACAAACCACAAACTGGAGCACAGAACTGCCCTCTATTACCCCTCGTCCACCCTCCCAAGGGAACGTGGTAAAAGGAATCAGGGAGAGAGACTTCAAGGTTGGAAATTGAAACTGGAACAAGTTTACTCTAACACAGAAAAGAAATTACATGAAGGGTGAAAACAGATGTATCAACTTATATACAGATACATACAAAACTGATCTTGATGATGGCAGGAATAGATGGGTGAGAGTCCCTTGTGGCAAGGCTGCCTCAGGAGAGAGGTCCACAGCTCCTCACAGCATCCAGTACAGTTGGATTCTGGAGAACACATGGCGAGTTGAACAACCCCTGAGCAGCACCAGCTGCAAGGAAGAAAGATGTGGGAAAAAAAGAGGCTGAGCTTCCAGTTCTCCTGGATTTTATAGAGCATGGCAGGAAGTGGGAGGGAATACTGACCCCTCTCTGTTCCAACCCTCCCAGGGTCCTAAAGACCCTCTCTCTTGTTACTCTTTTATTTGTCATCAATCTGCCAGGTCCACTCAAACTATCACATGCATGTTCATTTAAATTCATGACAGTATTTCTAGTGCCCTGCCTCAGATCTGTGAAGCAGCGAAGCATTTGACTGCATTTTTGTGTAACAAGTGGTTTGAGACCCATCAAAACAAGGCAGTTGCAAAATCTCCTTGTATTGATATTTTTGTAAAAACATGGATCATCTCAATGAAATCAGTGGCCCTGGTAAACAAAGTTTTCATTCCTCTGCACAGTTCACAAATAGTGTGGCCCTTATGCAACTTCCAGACAAAGAGAACTAAGGAGAAATGTTTTCTTTATCTGACACCACAGGGGCCTGATCCAGCTTTGGAGAGTCATCTTGTTAGGAGACCCAGATTTCTCATTTATCAAAGTATTCACTGAGAATACTTAATATGCAACTGAGCCCCAGATCCCCTTGGTAGTCAGAAATAACTTCCATTTTAATAGGGCTGCCTCAGTGATAAAGATTTGGGAACAAATCTTTATTTTTCCTACAGTGAACTAAATGGAGAATGCAGTACCAGGGTTCCAGTAAAAAGGAGACCTGAGTAAATTTGTAGCATTGCTATGTTGTGCCTCATTTTATTGCAGGTTATATTGAAATTTTCCTTTCACTTCTTGCAATGTACTAAAGATTGGTGATACTGGTTTTTTCCTTTTCTCTCCAGAGGAGTTTCAAGTTGTTCTTAGAGGAAGTGGCTTAACCCTTGGTGGGAAAACGGATGGTGTTACTTGTACCTATCAAGTGAATGGAACTACAATTTGTAAGTATTCAAGTTAGAGGTGATCTGCCATTATATTTCCTAATAAGCAATTTATTTTGCTTCTTGTGACCTCATTTAATTAAAAACAAAATAGAAAAATATTTAAGAGGAGGAAAATAAGAAAGCTCTGAGGATTATTAGTAAAGAGGACGCAAGTTATTTCACATCTTGCTTTGTGATTTGAATTTGGTATTGACTGCCATTAGCTGTGACCTGTGACTGGGGTTTGGCAGCCCAGGTGGCCGTGTGCATTAGCATGGCCATAACTGTCTGGTTCCTGGTACTCAGTTCAGCAGATGTTTGAAAATGAAAAACACTCAACTACAGAGTCTACTGACCAAGTGCCCCTTCTTGTAAGAAGACCCAAGCCAAGACATAGGCTCTCACCATGATTCCAAAAGCACTGGTTTCCAAGCTGCACTTACCTTGGTGTCTTGGTACATCTCTGCCCATGCTGTCTGCTTTACCAGATGTAGAGCCATGGTGCTGTTTGTGTCATTGGCATGGCAGGCTGTGGGTGTCCCTCTGACTAGGAATCCTCTTCCTGGAACTTCTGTTATAGCATAGAATAAGGCCAAGTCAGAGCAGCTGGTACTGTTTTGTCCCTGTGTTTTGACATGGTTCATCAGCTAATTTTCTGCAAAATATTCAGGACTAGTTCTTCTCTTCCTCAGTCTCTTAACTTGCAGCAGGGCAGATAAAAAAAATCATGCTATTCCTGCTTGTGCTACATGATTCCCTGCACTGGCACAGAATTGGGATTAGTCTGCTTGTGCTACATGATTCCCTGCACTGGCACAAGACAAATGACCTCAGAAAAAAATGCTATTAGTGAAAACCTCTGCCTTTTTTTTACACCCAGTAACAAAAATGGATAGCTAGTGTAAGTACATCCAACTTCTTGCTCTAAGCAGTATCCCAGACTGGAATATGACCAAGAACAGACCTGTAGAAAAAACCCAACTCATTTTTTCCCTACCTAATATCTGATTTCTGTATTAGCTTGTCTTAAATTCCTACCCAATTGAACCAGTGTTTCCAGTACATTTTCTTCCTTTCTCTGGATATCATATATGCTTGAATGGGGCTGCCAATCTTTCCTGCATGTTAAATGTCTAAAGTCATTTGGAAAAAGAACAAAAACAGCACAGTAGTTCTGGAAAAAGGCAACCTGTGTAAATAAATTATGCTTGTATACATTTCAGTTTCAATTAAAATTGTCACCTTTGTTCCTAAGTTAAGCTGTGGCTTCCTTATTTACACTTGTTGCATAAATTAGCTTTATAGAGGTAGAATTTTGACAGTGAAAAATTATTGCTGCAGTTGTGTATTTTCATGGTGTTCATTTCTTACTTGGAGAAGTGGGGAAACAGACTAGTTTAGTTCCAGGTGAATAAAATGAATTTCACACTAAGGTAAATAGAGACTTTAGTAACATGACCTGAAGATACTGGAACGAAGATTTCAATTTAATCAGCTGGCTTGCAAGTCATCAAGACTCCTCAGTTCTATCCCTGCTTCACTTGTCTCCACCCTAGTCTGTCCATTTGGGAAATTAAAACACTAGCAGGTACCTTCTTCACATGGGTGCTTGAGGCTTGCATCAATATGGTTATGTTTGTAGTGGCATTCTGTCCATTCCACATCTTCAGAGGGAGTGCATTAAGGTACTGGTGGAGATAAGGACCTACAGAATATGGGAGTTTAGGAGGGATTTAGCCATTTCCATAATCATCACAAATTTAAACCTCCTCTGTCCTGCTGGTGACTGTGTCTAAAAGTCCAGGCATTATTTAGTAGCAATGCTAGCAGCACACACCAGCAGGCTTATGGTACTTAGAATGATAGAACTCTTAGGTTGGAAAAGACTGTTGGGATCACTGAGTCCAACCATCATCCCTGCTCTGCCATGTTCTCCCCTAAACCATCTCCACCAACACCACATCCAAATGATCCTTAAACACATCCAGGGATGGTGACTCAACCTCCTCCCTAGGCAGCCTGTGCCAGGGTCTGACCACTCTTGCTGTGGAAAGATTGTTCCTACTGTCCAGTCTAAACCTGCCCTGGTGCAGCTTGAAGCCCTTCCCTCTTGTTCTGTCACTGATTACCTATGAGAAGAGACCAGCACCAACCTCTCTACAATCACCTTTCGGGTAGTTGTAGAGACTGATGAGCTCTCCCCTCAGCCTTCTCTTCCTCAGACTACACATTCCCAGCTCCTTCAAGTGTTCTTCATCAGATTGATTCTCACCAGCTTCATTGCCCTGCTCTGTCCTCGCTCCAGCACCTCGAGATCTCTCTGGAATTGAGGTGCCCAAAACTGGACCCAACACTCCAGGTGTGGCCTCCCCAGTGCTGAGCACAGGGGGACAATCACCTCTCTACTTCTGCTGGTCACACCATTTCTAATACAAGCCAGGATGCCATTGGCTTTCTTGGCCACCTGGGCACACACACTGGCTCATGTTCAGCCGCTTGTCAGTGAGAACCCCCAGGTCCTTTCCTGCCAGACACTTTCCAGCCACACTTCCCCAAGCCTGGAACATTGCATGTGGCCCAAGTGCAGGGCCCAGCACTTGGCCTTCTCGAAGCCCGGACCATTAACATTGGCCCAACAATCCAATCTATCCAAGTCTCTCTGTAGAACCTCCCTGTCTTCATGCAGATCCACACTTGGTGTCCTCTGCAAACTCACTGATAACACACTCTATGTCCTTACTGAGATCATCAATAAAGATGTTAAACAGAAACATCCCAACACTGAGCCCTCAGAAACACCACTTGTGACTGGCCCCAGCTGGATTGGACTCCATTGACCACCAGTCTTTGGGCCTGACTGTCCAGCCAGTGCTTGATCCAACAGATTGTGTGCTCATCCGGGCCATGAGCAGCCAGTTTTTTTATGGGAGTTCTTTGGGGAACCGTGTCAAATGCTTTTTGGAGGTCCAGATAGACAATATGCACAGCCTTTCCCTCATCCAATAGTTGGTTCATCAGGTTATAAAAGGAGATCAGGCTCATCAGGCAGGACCTGCCTTTCATAAACCCATGCTGACTGGGCCTGATTCCCTTGTTGTCCTCTATATGTCTTTTAATGACACTCAAGATGATCTGCTCCATGACCTTCCCTGGTACCGAGGTCAGACTAACAGGTCTGTAGTTTCCCAGATTTTCCCTTCTGCCTTTCTTACAGATAGATGTTACATTTGCCACCCTCCAGTCCCTTGAGACCTCCTCTGTTACCCAGGACTTCAGGTAAATGATGGAGAGTGGCTTGGGGATCACATCTACCAACTCTTTCAGCACCCTTGGATGTAACCCATCCGGTCCCATGTGCGTGTTTAAGTGGTGTCATAGGTCTCTGACCACTTCCTCTTTCATTGCAATGACCTCATTCTGCATCCCCTGTGATGGTGACAGGGACAGCCTGCTCCTGTGCCTTTCAAACTTCTTTCCTGAAGTATTTCCAGCCTTCCTGGACTCCTTTATCCTTCAAGGCAGCCTCCCAAGGGTCAATCAGTCTTCTGAACAGGTCAAAGTTTGCCCTCCAGAAGTCTAAGGTGTATCTCCAAGGATAGATCCTTGTATCTCCAAGGATCTAAACCAATCATCTCATGATCACTGTGCTCTAGATGGTCTCCAACCTTTACTTCCCCTACAAGATCTTCCCTGCTCACCAGAAGCATGTCCAGGAGGGACACCCTCCCTGGTCAGCTCACTTGTCAGCTGTGTGAGGAAGTTCTCTTCCACACATTCCAGGAACCTCTTGGAATGTTCCCTCTCTGCTGTGTTGTATTCCCAGCAGATGTTTGGGAGGTTGAAGTCCCCCACAAGAACAACAGCAAGTGACTGGGAGATTTTTCCCACTGATTATAGAAAGCTTCATCCACCTCAGTTTGGTTGGGAAGTCTCCAGCAGACTCCCACGGTGATATCAGTTTTATTGGCCCTTAAACTCATCATGACTATTTTTGATTTCCAAGCTCTCATAGCATTCTCTAACACAAAAGGCCACTCCACCCCCTCTCCTTCCCTTTCTATCCCTCCTGAAGAGCTTGTAGCCATTGATTGTGGCACTCCAGTCATGTGATGCATCCCACCACCTTTCTCTGATAGCCACTATGTCATAGTTTTCCTGGCGTATCACATGGATTCAAGCTCCCCCTGTTTGTTGCTCATACTGGGTGCATTGGTATAGATGCTCTTCAGATGAGCTAATTATTCCAACACCTTTTTTCCACTGTGGGCTCCATTTCCTACCAGACCCTTCTCAGGTGCTTCCATGATTTCTAAACATCTATCCTTTCTCTCAGATGAAACAACAGAGTAAGAATCCTCCCTAGTCCACCATCCTTCAAGCCCTGGCATGTTTCTCTCAGGCTTGTTCCTAACAGGCCCAATTATCTCCCTTCCCCTTCATATCTAGTTTAAATCCCTGTCAGTGAGCCCTGCTAACTCCTGCTCCAAAAGCCTTTTCCCTCTCTGGGACAGGTGCATCCCACCTGCCACCAGCAGGCCAGGTGTCTCATGTAGCAGCCCATGACTGAAAAACCCAAAGCCTGTGGCACCAGTCATGTAGCCATACATTGATCTGCAGACTCCTCCTGTTCATCTCTTCATCCTTTCTTGCAACAGGTATGGAGGCAGACACTACCTGTGCTCCAGACCCTCTAACCAGCCATCCCAGGGCCCTGAAGTCTCTCTTCATTGCTTTTGCACTCCTGGTAACAATTTCATCACTGCTAACCTGCAAAACCAGCAGTGGACAGTAGTCAAGAGGGCTGTACCAGATCAGAGAGTTTCCTTTATAACATGCCTTATCCCCCAGGGAGGCAGCAGACTTCCCTGTGGGATGGGTCTCATAAAAAAATGGGCCCTTCTGTTCCCCTCAGAAGGGAGTCACCTACCACAGTTACTCTCCTTTTCTTCTTAGTTGAAGAAGTCCTAAGGCATAGGGGTGAGTGACAAGCCTTTGGTGACTCACTAGATGGATCTACCCCCCCCCATCTTCATTTGCCCAGCCATGAAGTTCCAAAGCCTCATACCTATTTTTCAAGGGGGGCAACGGGGAGGGTGAGGGGGCTGTGAGGGTTTTCACTTGCCTCTCCAAGCAGGGACCTCCCTCCATTCCTCTCTGTCCTGTGAGTACCCTCCTATCATCAGACAGAAGCAGAGCATCCATCACTTGTTCAAGAACTTCTTCCTTCTGCCCTTGCCTCAGGGTGTGGCTCCACCAATCTATTTCACTTTCACATTCTCTGATGCTTCTTAACCTTTCTACCTCCTCCCTCAGTTCAACCACCTACCTGAGCAGATTGTTTATTTGCTCACATTGCACACAAGCTGTGTCAATGGCTCCCATGAGTGGCAGGTTGTGGTGCTGGTTGAATCGAGGGCTGTGCTGCCAACAATAGCCCCTGGGAACTTGGATTGTGATGTGCTCTGTGCTACAAGTGGGGCATGAATCTGCAGTGGGGAGTGTCCAGAGAAAGCTGCAAGAATGGGCAGAAGTCCAGAACACCAGCTGTAAGGAAGGACAGAAAAGTTCAGTTTGTTACCTCTACAGGAAAGGAGAAATGGCCAAAGTAATTGTTACTTATGGTTGCTGCAGGGCTAAAAATAATAAGCTAGGCTCTCCAAATCTGCTGAGAAGAGAACAAGAGGCAACAGGCTTCAAATTCTACATGCCCTTGCCTCAGGGTGTGGCTCCACCAATCTATTTCACTTTCACATTCTCTGATGCTTCTTAACCTTTCTACCTCCTCCCTCAGTTCAACCACCTACCTGAGCAGATTGTTTATTTGCTCACATTGCACACAAGCTGTGTCAATGGCTCCCATGAGTGGCAGGTTGTGGTGCTGGTTGAATCGAGGGCTGTGCTGCCAACAATAGCCCCTGGGAACTTGGATTGTGATGTGCTCTGTGCTACAAGTGGGGCATGAATCTGCAGTGGGGAGTGTCCAGAGAAAGCTGCAAGAATGGGCAGAAGTCCAGAACACCAGCTGTAAGGAAGGACAGAAAAGTTCAGTTTGTTACCTCTACAGGAAAGGAGAAATGGCCAAAGTAATTGTTACTTATGGTTGCTGCAGGGCTAAAAATAATAAGCTAGGCTCTCCAAATCTGCTGAGAAGAGAACAAGAGGCAACAGGCTTCAAATTCTACAGCAGAAGTAGGTGAGGTATTAGGAGAATGGTTCTCACTGTAAACATTTCCCAGGCCTGGAATAGGTTACTTAGAAAGCCTTTTAACAGCTTGGGTGGGTGTCACTGAAGAATGTGTGAAGTGTCTTGCCTTTTGAAATATTTTCTGACTTTGGTTTCTCTGCTTCTCTGATTGTGCAGTCTTTTGCAGCACAAGTACAGCTGCTTTGCTGTGGTAGAAATAACTATACTTGGACAGGTTGAAGCCCTGAAATACTTGATTGCAGCTGATGTGAGAATATCCTAATAGATCTCTGGGCTGCTTTTTTTTTTTTCCCTTGGCTTCAGGAAAGAGTGCCCTGAAGCACACAAAGGGAAGGGAATGGCATAGTGATGTATTTATTTGCTGGATGGGGTTTTGCCAGAGGCCTGCTACAACTCACCTAGGGTCTTGTCTTCAGCAGCAGACAACAGCAAATGTTTAGGGAGTAGTACAGGAAGGACATGGGGAAATTGAACTTGACCCTTCCCCTGAAATGCAAGCTCATTCTCTATAGCCCTGTGTGGAGCCCCAAGCAGTTTTGTCTGAGCTAGGCTAGAGAAAAAGGCAGGAAGGGCTCTCTGAGCAGTAGCAGGGGGAAGGAGAAGCTAGGAGAAGTGTCTCCAAATCATTGCATTCTCCTCCAGGAAAAAGCAGTGGTATCTCAGCAGAACCCTAGGCATCTGAGGGCACAGCAGAGGGTAGTGGCATGACAAAGTACTGTACTGTTGGAGTTCCCCTTACTGATAGCCTAGGCTCTGCCTTGGGACCAGCCTCAGAGCAAACCCTTATTTTGTCAGTTCTTCTTTTAGAAGATGAATTTGGCATGTTTCTCTTTTTGCATTTATAAAGAACCATTACCAAATGCTAGAAAGGAAACCTGCCAAATGTAGCTGTGGGATAGAAAAATAATCTATGAAACATACCATTAAGACAAAAGCATATGGCAATGTGCTAATCCCCTCTTCCCCACCTTACAACTAGCCCCAGATCTAGGCCAAGCAGTCACTGCAGATTATAGCACTTAAGAAAAGCTCATTTATGCTAACAGCTCCTCCTTCAGCTGCCCCTGAACTGCTTACATGCCTGCCTGTTCCCTAAATGCAGGACAGAGTCATCTCCAAGTTTATCTGGCAGATCATTTATCTGCTCTTATCTCTAAGTCAGGAAATAGTCCAGGAGCAGCTCCAGTATAGAAATTAACAGTCCTACGATGGGGAATTTTGGGAATATGGTTCTGTGTACAGGAACAAAATTTCTCCCAGGTTACCAAACGCATGACATAAAAGAGCTCCTTCCTCTCCTAGTCACAAGTGCAGCAAAGGACATGGTGCTCTGCAGATAGATCATTTGTGAGCTTAAGAGTCTGCAAACAGCTAGAGGCTCAAAACCTTGAGAAACACCAGAGAAATAGACACTAATTACAACTAATGAAGTAGTCTTTGAATGCAGTACATGGGGTTGGGGCTAATTAGAAACAAACCTTAATCTTCCACATATTAGGAACCCCCTAATAGCATTCTCATTCTTTGCAAAAATGGTCTTAATTCTAGGAAATTGTCCCTCTGGAAGACCATGAGCTGACTTGATTAAAACAAAGCATCAAGGTGCTTTAAAAAAGCAGCAGCTTTATTCCCTCACTTGGGCCTGCCTTGCTTGCAAGTTCCAGTCTACCAACTGAGAAACCAGTGTACTGTGAGAAGGGGAGGGACTTCAAAGCATCTTCTAACACATCAGCTCCTTATTTAGGCAGCTCAGTACATTAAGCTTGTGTGATTTGTTTTTTCAGATGAAAAACCAAAAACAGTGGAATCTGATTTTTTGCTCTGCCCTGCACCAATCCTATACAAAAGTGGCCAGTAAGTACTTGAAACAAATGCCATCCTATGTTCTGCTAGAATTGGGCTTGTTATTGCTGACATGAATCATGAGGGAGTTTGGCTAGAGGCAGTCTTTTGTTGTTTTTAAGGGGGGTGGTTTGTTGTTGCATATTTTTTTCCCTATTCTTGTGTTATTTCCCTGGAGTATTTGCCAGCTTTGGAATGGACTTTAAATAGTCATCTGTGACCAAACCAACTTGGACAGTGCCTTAAAAAATGAATATTCAGCCAGTTTATTAAGCACTGAAAAGGCCTGGCTTGTCATAAGTTTTATGCAGATTAGCTGTTTTAACAGGGCATAATATGCTCTCTTCTGGATAATCTTTAGGCTCATTGTTAAATAGATTACATTATCACTGACACTTACAAGCTATTATTAAAATTATGTGTCAGGATGCATAGCACTGCTCAATATGTAATGATAAAACAAGGCACTAATTTTAACAGCAACAGCAATCTCATAACAGCACAGTGGCTAAACTGCAGTTCTAGCCTTATTCTAAGTGTCACTAGCCATGGCTGCACATTACTTCTGGCCCTTTGAGAACTAATCCTTCCCTCCTCCTCTCAAATTCAGACATGCCCTAGGCTTTTAAGATCACTTCAACTTCATTGGTCAGATTTGTGATATTCTAAGCTAATCAGAAGTCAGAGAACTGCATGTCAGATCTTGGCCCTGTAGGAGGGTGAAGGCTTTTAGGCTGTTGGCTTTCTCCCTCTTTTGCAAGTTGATCTTCTTAGGGAGTTGAGGTGAGGTTAATATTAATCCAGTTTGGTGCAGCTTTGCATTGTCTTTTTCCTCTGGCAATTGTTGGCAGTTTAAGAACTAAGCATAGATGATTTTCAGTAGTTACTCTTCCAAGTTCAGCAACAATCAACCACCTCTGCTGTGCTGTAAGACCAATAGCAAAACCCCAAATGCAGCTGTTTTGTGCATCAAGTGGCAACTGGGAAGAGAAAAACTGGAAAGTGGTAGCAGAAAAAACCCTCTAGTGATTAACCAAAGTGGAAGAGTGAGGAAGTGGAGTGGAAGATCTGCATCATAGCCTCTGTGCAGGAGCCAAAGCTCCCTTCTAGGGACTGAGCTCTGGTTTGTGGCAAATCAGGGAAAACAAGCACAGAAGGGATGAGTTTCATGCTGTTATGCTTTCCTGATACTCAAGGTGCCTTATATGCAGCTGTGTGAAACATGAACCTTGTCCTATGTGCAGCAGGACTTTGTTAGACCTGTGTGCTTTTACATGAAACAGTGCAGGCTGAGCTAGGCTGCATGTAGTTCTGTGCCAGTTGTACAGCAAAACAGCTGCAGCAAACTGCTGTCTTAGCTAAAACAAATTGTCACCATGTGCAGCTGTAAGAGAACTAACTTTGTCCTCAGAACCACACATCAGCCAGGTTCACCATCTCTCAATGCCAAGTGTGTCAGTGGAGTCACCTCACAGCAGAACAGCAGCAAGTTAGGCCCCTGGTATCAAGCACCCCAAGAGCTGAAGCTGTAAATGCTTTTCCACACACTGTTAGTCTGAGAGCATGCAAACAGCCTGTCCTGCCACGTGCATGTGAAATGCATGGAATAATTCTAAAGATCAAAGCCCAGTAGAAGCTATTTGAACAGGCTGCGTTTTTTCTTACTCTGGACAGAGCCTGTCTGGCCCATGCAGCATTACTCACCATCTAGTAATTGCAGTGTAGATCAAGCACCTAATTATGGCACATGTTTGCAAGCAAGAATGCACAAACAATACACATGAAGTTGTAGAGGTTCACAGGAAAGGGGTTTTTTTTCCCCAAAAAAAAGTTACTATATGAAATACACTTCCATAACCTGATATTGAAGTAATTACAGCTCTGGCCCAGACATAAACAGTTCATTATGCAGAAGATTGACAGCTATGGAAGATATGTACATACTTGAACTCTTGACTTTCCCTTGGCACAGCTCAGACTATTGCTGGATAACTCCCAGTAATTCCTCATGTTAGTGGAGCTAATATTAGTTGCTAATGTAGCAACAACCAGTCTGCTCTTTTTAGTGGAATTACGAGCAACACAAGCAAAGTAAGCTTTGAGACTTTTAAAGCTGCAGCTTTGTTTCTGGGTAAACAGTACCCACACTTAAGTTCATTATATTGTACTAAATGGAGACACTTCTTGGTGACTGATGAATTTGCAGTTTTTGCATGCAGTAATGTAGAAACCCATGTGGAGTAGACAAAATGCCAAAGTACCCAGGATATTGGGTTGGTAAACTCCCAGTCTCCTGGACTTAAGCCAGAATTTGTCTACTTTGTTTCCAGCTGCTGGCTGCATTTAGTGAGGAACCTCCAGAAGGCCAGCTGTAGATTTAACCAAGCATTCTTTTCAAATACTGTTTTTTTCACAGTTCTATGTAGCAGATGGCTGTGGTTTCCTCAGGTTATGTGACAACATGACTGTGCTGTGTGTGCCATTTAAAGTACCTCCCTGTCATGCTACTTCAAAAGTCCAATATTACACAGTCTGCTTATGAAACCAGCTCATTTTAGAAGACCCCTGATTAGCTAACAGATGAGAATTACTTGTGATTTCTCCAAGAGCAACCTATGCATGATAAAAAGTGTTGAAATACTTCAGGAAGGTAAAGCACTATGTATACTCTGCATGAAGAGGAGGAGTCAAACCCAAGCTGAACTGCCTTACTTTGTGTGCTTGGAGAGATCTCTTCCATACTGCAAGGGCAAGTGTAACATTGCAGCTCATCTATTTACTAAACAGGAGTAATTCTATTGCATTGACCATTTAAGACCTATTCTTGCAGAATGTTTGAGAAAGTCAGTTCCCCTTCTTAGCTCAGGCTTGAATTTTCTGTCCTGCCACAGCTCAAGGGAACCAAACAGAATCAGAGATTTGACTTCTCTGTCACTTTAGATGTTTCTGTTGTCATTGTGCTTTGGAAAGACAACAGAGCCAGTGTCTTTCTGGAAGACCAATACAGGAAAAACTGGTGTATATTTTATGTCTAGGTTCTTGCACTAGGTTCTTTCTTTTGTTCTCTTCACTTTGCTGTGAGTTCTTGGAGTAGACATTCAGAAACTCTGTAGTCAGTAGGCCTGACTTCAGAAACAGATGGCTTCTGTTGCTCTAAGCCACTGCTAAAATTCCCTCTGCCTTCAGTTGAAAGACTTGCAGAAGAACATACATTCCTCTTACTTCCTGAACATTTACCAATTTACTTATTTGATGAATGGATGACAAAAGTTTGAACTACAATCCAATATTTTACTGAAATATATACATGCCTGTTTTCTCAGTTTGGTTAAACACTGGTTTCTCATTGGAGCATTACAGGAAGAGATTTTGGATTTGCTGGTGCCTACTGAAAAAACCCAATTTGATCTTGTGCAAAAGCAAAGCAAGAAAGGTTAGGTCTAGGCTTGGCACTGAATTATTCAAAATGAACCAACATGTTGAGAAATTATCATTGTTCTTAAAATAGTTCAGAGAACTACGTAACTTTATTTTTTAATGCAGTGTTGCTGGCCAGCTTCCACCTTAATGCAACCTGCACTTGAGTTCATGCAGTGTTTGCTCTGAGATTAGCTTGTAAAATAAAATGAGCATTTACCCCAGGGTCCAACAAGATACATAAGCCTCTCAACTTGAAACACATTGACTAAGTCTACCTGAGCACGTGCACAAAGAAGTGATTATGTGTTTCAAAACCCCAGCAGAAGGGCAAGCATCAGGTTAAGGTGGATGCCAGCTTTCAGGTGCCCTAGGACAGAAGTGGGCAGCATCTTTCTCCTTGGTCTTGTAAGCTTAAGAAGTAGAAAAGCCAAAAAGGACAAATCCAAACAAACCTGAGTGCAAGTGAAGCCTTGTTTGCAACGACTGTGAATTCATGATCAGAGCTCACGCAGAGGTGGTAACAGTCTGCACTACTGGGTTTTAATGACCTTATGGCCTCCATTCAAATAATGATGGCTTCAGCTTGTATATATCCCTTCCTACATCCTGTCCAACATGGACAGCTGGTGGCACTTAAAGAGCAAAGATTAAATAGGAATTATTTTTGTGTAGTAGGAAGGAAAATGACTATTCTTGTATTCCCAAAGTCTTCACTTCCACCAGTTTTAAGGTAGCTGACTTCAGTTTAGTCTCCAGTGTGCAGGTCACTTGGAACAAAGCACACAATACATGAAATCTGTTAAATATAATCAGATTTTTTTAATGTATTGCTAGTAGTGAGAGCTGTTGGCAATGGCACAGGTTGACTAGTGGTGACTTTAAAACCAGTTCCTATCCAGCCATTCCAATAAGGAGTTACTGAAGGAAAACAACCTTACTGAGCAAATCGTACGAGTGTCTTAATGTAATTAAAGAATAAATAGCTCAAACTCTTACAATTTTAAGAAGTAACAACTCCTGTTCTATAAAGACAACAGAGTGGGAAATCATCCCTAGGCCTAATCACATTGCTTCATGCTTCTGGGCTGCAAAAGCTACCTTGAGACATGCTCTTATTTGGCTATTAACCAAATTTCTCACAGGAGGAGCCTGTGTCATTCAAGTCATTGTTCTTCCTGTTGACAACAGCTGCTTTGCTTGTTTTGCACTCATTTGTGAATGGGATGACAGCTCAAAGGGAATTCTGAAGCAGAAACAGCCTTGTGTGTTTTCTGCACAGTCAGTTCTCAGGTCCTTAGATCTAAATTTTTGGTTTTTTTCTGGATTATGGCTGATTTCTTTTTGGTCCTGTCATTACAACCAAGGTATTGTTCCTTAGCCCTTTGGAATAAAAAGATGAGGGAAGAAGTAACTATGTCCTTATTTTATGTAGCCCTTTCAGCCTTTAAGTAACCTTTTTCAGACCTATCTTAACCACCTATTGCATCCATGTGTCTTCCTCTTAAGTAGTTTCTCAGCTTCTCTATATATGAAAAAAAACTTGGGGTTCTGTTTCACTTTTGGAATTGTTGTGGGTTTTTTTTCCCACAGCA